AGCAAATAAAATATATTTTATTTTATTAGAGATGGTAACAAATAAGTGGATATTGTGTACTTGTCGGCAAGGGTACGAGGTTTAAAAGGCCTTCAGGTGACGTGGTCGCCTGTCCTCCTTTCGTACCAAAGTCTTCTCTCCAACTCTTATGTTTGGGTCACGCATTTCCTTTTATTTACCTAAATTGCCATTGGTTCTTTTATTTTTTACCGCACGTGTTGTTAAAATTGGGAAACTTCGTCCACGTCAGACACAGTGTTTGTTTGGTGGCTTTGTTAATGAGAAAGACAAACAACATGTGGAAATGGAGATTCTATTCCTAGAAAGAGCATTTCCTTTTGTTTTTTTTTTTTTTCTTTTTGGGTTTGCAAAAATAGATTTTGGTTAATGGCTTAGGAATTAAATGTATTAAATGATTTCAATTTTCTTGAAATTTTTTGTGTTTTATATTTACCAACAAATATGTATTTGTATAATGAGACAGTTAAAAATATACCACATAATGTTTTACAAAATTTTTAAAATATTTTAAAAAAATTAAATAAAGTTTTATTTTTATTAAATTTAATTAAGCTTATATATTTTTGTTTTAAATTAAAAAGGACCTTATAACTAAATTATCATTAGTTAAAATATTACTTGTTATTTTTATATTCATAAGTGCTGCATGAAAAAAAATGAAAAGGCGTAATATTTAAAAAAACTCTTAAACTATTTAAAAAAATTTAAATAAGTCTTTATACTTTTATTACGCTCAATTAAACTTTATATTTTTATTTTAAACTAAATAAGCTTTTATATTTTTTTTAAGCTAAATAAGCTCTTATAACTAATGATTGACTTAGTCAAAATGTTATTTATAATTCTATACCACATGACACTAACATGATATATTAATAATCATAAATGGTGATTATGTTGTATGTTAATATATCATAGTTAATAATGATGTGACATACTAATTTAGTATGATAACATGTTTATATATCATTTTTCGTCCTCTACATCAATATTATGTCAATGCCATATAGATATAAAATGATAAATATTATTTTGACTAATCGTAATTAGTCAATAATTAATTATAAAAGTTTATTTGATCTAAAATAAAAGTATATGAACTTGATTGAATTCAATAAAATAATAAAAGCTTATTTAAATTTTTTTGAATAATTTAATGACTTATTTAAGCATTGCCAAATGAAATATATCATATAACTATATTATCATACTACGTTACCATCCATTATGACATTCAGCATGTCATATCAATACCACATGATATTAAAAAAAATAACAATTGACGTTTTGACTAATAATAGTTTATCAATAGTTAGTCATAAAGATTTATTTAGCTCAAAAAAATATATAAGAGTTTGATTTAATATAATTAAAAAAATATGTTTATTTAATTTTTTTTCTAAATAGTTTAGCAGTTTTTAAGTATTGCGTCAAAAAAATAAGTTATCTTATATATTATTAGTAAAGTTTTTAAACTTTGGGAATGAAATGAGAGGGTTGTCAAATGTTTGATTAAATTATATATAAAAATTAATATATGTCTTTTTACAAATATTAATTTTGTTATATAATTTTTTTATACGAAATTGCTTTCTTATAGATCTAAATTAGTTTCACTTGATTATTTACTAGTCATGATCACATAGTATTTTAGTTCATAATTCTCTTAGCTACTTTGCCAAACACTAATAGAAAGAAAATAATTCATCAAATAGTAATGGAATCATTGAAAGATAGACTTGCAAATAGTTGGACCACCAAACAAATTGCTCTCAAGTTGAAAATCCAACATTGATGGATATCACTTAAAAAAATTATAAATAAATTGAAATTCATGATATCAAAATTGAACCCAAAAGAACAAGTCATGTGATTAATTTGATTGGTATCGTATCGTTAAATCGACAGATATAATTCTCAACAGGTTGTGTTAAAGTTAGGTTACCCTCGCTTCTCTCCTCGATTAATATGCAATTTTCAACAGTTATCTCATCAATTAATACACAATTCTCCTTGATTAATACCCAATTCTTAACAAATTTAATCAAAATTAAATTTATCTCACTTTTCTCTTTGGCTAACCTGCAATTTCTCAACGGGTAAAGATCGTGTTAAACCAAGAGTGAAGGGACGATCCAAAACCAAATATTCATATAAACCTAATGAATCTTCACATCAATGGATATTAATTATTAGGTTAAGAACTTACCAAAAAAAAAAAAACCACATAACCATATCAAATTCCAGAAGAAAAATCCATATAAATCTCATAAATTTACTAACTAATATTAGGTCCCCACCCATATCTCATTGTCCTAATTTCAACCTAATTTATAATCCGAAACATCATCAATTAACAATTAATTAATTAAGTAAGTAATATTTCCAGGGTATTTCAATTAATAAATGCACAAATTTTTGGCCTTCTGCAAAGATATTTATTACATATGCAGCCAAAATTAAATGCTTTGGTTGATTTTGATACATTAATTATATACTTAGCTGCATTCCACCTATAAGTATCTAACCCTATCACCCATTTATTTAATTCTTTGCCCCTTTTTATGGTTAAGTTAGTTTGCTTTTATTTCTGCTACTTGCTTTATCATGTATCATTTGGTTCTATTTTAATTTTTACGAAATATAATAGATTTTTGCTATTTTAATGTATTTTATATTAAAATTTAAAATATTTTAAAAATTGATATTTTAATATGATTTTTAATGTTGAAAAATAAAAAATCATAAAAAATAAATTTCGAAAATAAGTAAAGTAAGGGTACTGGTATTAGGGGTTTAAAAACAATGCAAAAAAAAAAAGAAAAAAAAATTTAATAGATAAATTAAAATTTTATTTTATTTTATAGAAAGAGATAAAATTATCATTGGGTAGCTATCTTGATTCAATGTACATATAACTATTTTTTATATATAAAAATGAGGGTAATCTGCACCTGAATTGTTTATGGCAGTAGACTTATTTCGATATTTTTATAATTGATGTCTTTTTCAGTTTACTGAATGAAACTTACTTATCAGAAAAAAAAAAAACTTTAAAATAATTTAAAATTTTACTAAACGAAAACACGAGACAACGTTCACAAATTTCATGTAAATAATTATCATAAAAAATTATAATTTTAAAATTAAAAAAATATATATCAAATTAATGCTACGTCTTGATAAATTATCGTTCGAATCTTCACGTGAAAAATAATCCTAAAACTTTCCCCACTTTGCAAGTTTTTTTCTAATGTTCCGAAACTTATATAAATTAGAGAAAGAGTAGATATATAAGTTATAACTATATATATATATATATATATATAAGTCAAATAAAATCTTTTGACTAAGTAAATAAAGTAATCCCATTAACAATAATTGTTAGAAGGTCGTGGAAATAGAATTTTCTTTTGGAAGCGTTTTCCAAAAAGAGAAAAGGAGGAATCCTTCACAATCTAGGAACAAAGCAACATGTCAAACTAGTACTTTGCTTCTTTGGGTTATCTTTTAATTTTTATATTTTTCCTCCAATTAGGTGCAAAATATTTAAATAATTTTTTATTAAAATATTTGAGACGTTCTTGTACTCATGTATTTTTATTAAATTTAGTCCATATATTTCAATTTAAAGTAATTTAATTTTTTGATTTTAAAAATTATTTCAATTTAATCATTTTCTTTAACACCATTTAATTTAACCGTTAAATAATATTACGTCAGTGTTGATATGATATATTTTCACTAATGTGATAGTGGAAGTAGAAATGAAAAATTTTTTAAAAATAAATGTAAAAATTTTTATTTCCTTTTTTAAGGAAGAACTTGTGAAATTTAATACATCAAGGGTGAAGTGGGTGTTTCCCATAGCCCAAAAATGGGAAGTAGATAGGGACCTACATGTTGGATTTCTGGCACACATGTCTTAGCTGTAAAAAACTATACTTGGAATAATGTTTTAATTTTTGTAAATTTAATTTTAATTTTATTTTTTTTTTGGTTTTGTGCATCCAATAGGCAATGTCAGGCATATTATTTAGAAATGTTTATGCTCATAAGGGGAAAATGGAGAACCAAATTCCCATACACCATAGTTTGTTTCTTGCCTTTTCTTTTCAAGAATTATTATTTTATTTTTTTTTCTTTATTCTCTAAGTGGAGGAAATGAAGTCTCCAATTTGCAAGGATTTTCAATGTTAGATTAATGTGGGTATTTTTAATTTGCAAAAGTATTGAATGAAGGGACTTGTCTTCTTTTTAAAGTTATTAAAATATTTTAATAATTTCAAATTATTATTTATTAAAATATCGATTTAGCATCATTCTTAACCTTCTTCACCATCAACGTAAGTACATTTTATAATAACGAATGATAAGGTGAGGATAGTGATCTTGTTACAGAATCATTATTCTCTCTTTAAAAAATTAACTTGACAAGATGTACAGTATTTATATTTATAAACTTTTTAATTATTTGATATGAAATTAAAATATCATTTTTACATATTTTAAAACGTTTAACGACTCGCTAGAGATAATCTCATCTTTTTTTTTTTATTTATTGTGCTGTCTTTGTTAAAGCACTCAGATATCAAATTGTTGGTGTTTCCCATTGAACTCATCATTGAACACCCATGAGACTGGTTAGGTTTTGAAAACACAAACTGAAAAATGCCATTGAATTTGCAACCAACCTAAAACCCAAAAGTATGAATTCTTGAGTTTCGGCGTATAGACTTCTTACCTTTGTTGGGTTTCAATGGCCCAATGTCTTACATTATTTTTAATGACAAAACATATATATATATATATATATATTATTGAATTATTACATATATCATCATGTAATTTAAATTGGCTATAAATAGTTATATACTCCCAACTCTGTGTTTTTTCCCTTTCTTATTTAAGATTATAAATTAGGGCACAATTCTAATTAAGCAGAGGGCTGGTAAAGAGAAATTTGGTCAGTCTTCTGCTTCTGTCACAAATCATATCCTTCACTGTCAATGCATATAGAAAGGAAGTGCTAAGAAGTGAAAGTACAAACTCAGGCACTATCCGACCCATCATAAAAGAGCCACTGATATTTTCTATATTAAACAAAATGGTCTTTTGAACGTTAGCTTTGGGGGTATAAAACGATGTCGAATCAAACCATTTCTTCCTTCTTTTAACAGGTATACAACACTAAATACAGGGAATCACTATAATCACAGGACTCCATAAGCTTTTTATCAGGGCAGTTCATCATTCCAAAATCACACACAGCAATCCCCTGAATATACTCCCAATTAATAGCCTATACCCTTCTACTAGCAAATCAGGTCAGATATATATATATATATATATATATATTCCTTGCCTATACGACGAAATCGATAAAACAGTAGTCATCTTGTTGAACCGCACGATTGATTGGTGTCTCATGGAAAAAGTATAACCAAAATTCCATTTCATATTGGACCTGGAAAAGATCATTCACCTATCTGGCTGTTCGACAGCTCATGCCGATGTTGTTCTCAATCTTTTCTCTGTTGTAGGCAACATGTGCTTGAATATGATGAAGGCCACGCATCAAAATTTTCAATTTCCTATAGCAGAACTCACTTTTTTCTGCCGTAATAAGCTCCGCTTCCTGAATGGCTATGATGCCGATGACGTGGTCCACCACTCCTGCCGCTGGACCCTTCCCATGAGTTTCCACGGCCGTAAACTCTGCTATTCCCACTTGGCCAATTCAATGTCTGTGTTCCGAGTCCATTATTCTCCTCCTCTACCCTGTCATTATACTCCAAGACCAGCCTCTTGATATCTTGTTTCTCTTCAAACTCGGCTGCTTCTTTCTGTTTTGTGCTCTGGACAAGAGTACAATCACGAGGAATATACATTTGCTTCGTCTGTTGTTTGTTCCCTCGCTTCACTAGAACTTTCACCTGAACCTCTCTGCTTCCTCCAGCTTCTTCATCCAATGCTTCATCACCACTTTCCCCTCCAACTACCCTTCCATGATGATCTTTGGTAGAACCCTCGAACACATTCATTGTATCATCATATTTAGTGTAGGTCGGCCCCGAAGCTCCAGCTTCCGCTGCTCCAACTTCTCCTGCATTTAAAATTGAATTAACATGGATGGCCAACTACTTTCTTCCTAATTCATTTTGAAGCCGCCAAACCACATTAGGGAAAGAAAATCAAAAACAATTAACCAGAACTTAGCATAGCAGATATTTTGACATGTATATTCTCAAGTAAAATAATATTAAAATAGAAAAAGACAACTAAGATACAATGGGATCCAACAGCAATAATTAAAAACCAACAAAAGCTTGCCTGCACTACAGCCCTGAGCTCCTGGTCAAAATTGGCCACTTCTTGAGGATCCAACTCTGCTACCTTCTGCCTGACATGAACTTCATCATCCTCGTCAGAAGCAGGCCCACCATCATCCTCATCCTCCTCATCAGTATCACATCCATCATCATGATTCTCTTCATCTAAATAATCTTCATCATGACCCTCTGGCTCAATGGTGCCACTCCCTGATTCACTGTCACTGTCACCGGTCTCCTCATGCACTCCACCATTTTCCTCAGAACCATTCCAAATGCTTGGTCGATCGGCTGAGATGGAATGGGCAGTTGTCCTGCTAGAGGCTTTTCAGTATCAGAGTGCTTCTCACTACTTGTTTTGTCAGTTGAAGCAGTGCGTTCATGTTCCTCAAGTTCTACTAAAGCAGCATTAACTTCTTCCATGGATGAATATCGGGTCATATTGGGACGTAATTCTGCAAATAAGTCCTGCATATTCTTCAACTTGTCAGCTTATCGCATTTACACACACATTCTTAGAACAGCATATGCAAAATGGCATAAACTCAGAACTAATTTATAAATGAAGCCTTTGTTATCTTTGCTAGTGTAAGTTATGCTTCATTACCACCAATCAAGTGAAGATCATACAGACTTTTGATTATTCTGCACTAACGCTAAATATAGCTTGACATGTTGCTAAAACATTCCATAGATAACAGTCACCCATGAAACATCTTCAAGCTTGCAAGACCAAAGGACTGATAAGAAAGGCTAAAATATCATTTATATAAAGCCCAATAAAACATGGTATCTATGCTATACAATCCCAAATGATTTCTTCAGGCATGGACCACAACATAAAAAGAGTGAGCATTTTCCTTTCCACTATTAGCTCCAAATGACAAATTCAAAAAGTACAATCACTAGTGCATTTTCTGTTACCTGCAAGTCAAATTCAATATCCAGTGGTAAGACACCTTTGCTAAGAATATATCTCTGGAAGTGTATCAAGAATCTATCAAGTTTTCTCTTGGAAGAACCTCGGTCAAAGTAGTGCCCACATGTCTGAAGAAGAGTAATAACCATCCTGATTCGAAAACAATCCTCAGGTGGATCGAGGACATCTTGCTAACAACACAGAAAATCAAATCATATTACTGTTTAAAAATGAATTGAACTACATTCATTGCTAAATCTCACACATAGTAACAATAGAATCGTTTAAAATCTTACAGACAGTCTCATGTCCGCCCCATTACTCAGTGCATCCATTGAAAAGACCTTAATTATTACTATAAACTTCAATACTAGGAATTTCGAATTTTCTAAGAATATTCTGTATCTCTTCAAAGGTAAAATCATAATATCTGAAACTTCTGTATCATACAATTAAGTGTATGTTACTTGTGAAGTTTAAATTATTCTTGTAGTTGCCAAGAGTCAAGTTTATTTTTTGGGACATCAAGTTGGTTATTTACTTCTTACTAGATTGTGATTTGGGTGTTTAGCAGATATTGTGCACTATTCTCTTTCTCCTCCTTTCTCTCTCTTGTTACAATAATCTTGAAGTCATTTTTCACAGCATATGCAGCGTCACATGGCAAAGGAGTGTGCTAAGTCCCACATCGGATGTGTACTAGAGTGATCTTGGGCTTAAATAGAGGGATAGTCATCCCACCTAATACACGAGCCTTTTGGGTTTAGGCCCAGGCCCGTGACAGCATTCAAGCTTTGATTTAACCTAGTTTTTCTTCTAACCAGAAATCCCAATAAAGTTTTTCTTCAATTCCAGCCCTCTTTTGAGATTTGAATCAAACCTGACTAATTTCAAAAACCTAACCTTCCACACAACTGCCCTTGACCTAAAATCCTTAATCCTAGCCCACTAAAAGCACTCACGTAGGCAGCATTGGCAGATCTATTCTACAACATTAACGGCACTCTTTGAATGCATTTATAAAGAAGTTCAAGGAGCAAAACTGGTAAATTTTGAGACATTACAGTAGAAAGAGAGAGAGATAGCCTAAGTGCCTAAAAGCACCAATGCTGACCCTTGCAAGCCTGCCATATAATAATTGAAACTTATAACAATAAACAGGATAACTCAATACCTCTGCTGTATCATGGCCAAAAACAAGAATCAAATAGAGTGTCTCAAAGATGACAGAAGAATCAACATGCTCATAGTTGTATAGCTCCCCTAGAAAACGCATATGAGCAATGCGTCTCTGCTGCATCCCATAATCATTCAATTCCAGACCAAGCCTAATCTCCTCCAAAACCTGAAAGTAGAGAATAAAATTACTGAAACTTAAACCATAAATTAAAAAAAATATAGGTATGATTTGTTCCACTCTTATCCCTAAGAAGATTATGCTTGGAAAAAAATTGCCATAATTGTCCATGGGAAAGATGATATCAGAACAAAACGAGCACGAACATCTCAGAAACTAAGAAAGTAAACTTAATGGAAGTAGCAGGTTCAGATGTTACAAGCTATGCATTTTTCGAATATCCTAATATTTCCAACATAGTTATACAAACACATTTGACTTTTTCCTACCGACCTACAATTATTGGGAGGAAAACAAACATAACAGTCCAGGTCATCAGCAACCTGTTTTCTTGAAGGCTGCCATCCCAACAAAGCAAAAGACTAGACACTCTTAAGCATAATCCAAGAAAACCTCCCTAAGACCATCACATCGTGTTGACCTTAACTTCACCCTAGATTCACTTCAAAACCAAGGCAGATGGATTATGAAACAAAACTCTAAAAGTGAAATGATATATTGAGCTCAAAACAAAGAGCCTAATTGGTAAATTTTCTGTTTTTTTGAAATCACCCCCATATTGTTTCAGTAGTCACAAAAGGTCTATGTCAAAAGGAATTTTAATATGTTACGGAGAACATATGTCAGAGAACCATATGTTCCAGACTAGAATTTCTCACCATTTGAACACTGAATAAGTGCAAATTGTGAATCCTAAGGATATACAAAGAAATAAAAACAAATTGATATACAGTAGTAGGTCCTTCAAAAATCAAGATAGCGTGGGATACAGGAAAATGAAATATCAACTCAACAAGATCAAGTTTTAAATTCAGAAGGCAAACCTCATCAACAACAGCAACAGCAAATTCATCATGGTAGCGACTCAAACCAGCAGTGAGAGAAGCAATCAAGTGAATCTGACCATATTTCCCCTTGTGAACCTTCATGAAGCACTTTAAGAGGTATGATTCACATTCACCCCATGGTAATTTACGAAGTTGCCTCAGCACATGCTCAATGGAAGACTTATCAAGATCTGTAAATAGCAATTTTCTAATATACTGCAAAACAATCAGACAGAACTCAGTAGGAGGTTTAACATCAAAACACATGGAAAATTCAGACATGAAAAGTAAATCATACCTGGTGCAATGGTGGACGGACTTTAGAGACCCGTGCAGATCTTTCAGGTGGCTTGCATAGGTAGTAAGCATTTTCTACTAGCGTGCTGTGTCGAGGATCCAAATTTTTTACATTTTTCAAGCGCATCAAGATCTCCAACATGTTAGCCATTCTTATGGTAGTTTCAGGAGACCGATATAGAAAACGACCACATGTCTCAAGAAGATTGCAAGCGACATCAATGTTATGATGAGTGAAATCATCTAAACATGTCTGGTACAAAAGAAAAATAGAATAAGCAAGCATCTGAAACAAACTATATGCTTTCAAGTATGCTTGCATTTACAGGTTATAAGACTAATGAAAATGAGGGCAATAAAACTTTTGCTCCTAATTTCTCTTTGCTTCAAAAGGTTTATAATCTCCCATAAGATAAGATGGTAATATCATCATAGGAACAAGCACTGATATAGAAACCAACATTTATCAGTTAGCTGCTTTGCACATACCTTCAGACAACTAAAAACAAGGCCAGCGGGTGCAATCCTGAACTTGCAAAGTTCTCCAATAAACCTTATATTCCTGATCTTTGTTTCAATGTTCATTTGATCCTAAAGTAAATTTCAATTTTGGAATATAAGTTACAAACAGAAGGAATGAACGCACAAAAAGAGAAATATTACAAAGATAAGAAGGAGACTGGTAGGGCAGCTGACCTTTTTATTAATTAAGAAGTTGAACTCTTCCTCCAACATCTGCAAGAGCATAGAGGGAACATCCTTCATACAAGTTGACAATGTTGCAACCATGCGGGAGTAGTATGGCAGCAATTCCAAAGATGTCCTTGGGACATTAAACAATGCTCTCACAAGCCTTTTTCGATTTGATTTTGAATTCAAATAACAGAACTCCACCTGAAATTATAATGAACAATTCAATACTCTTCTAGAGTTGCATAAAACCCCATCAAAAGAGGCATAAAACAGTCGCAACAAAAAAGGAGGTATAATTACCGTAAGTTGATCAATGAGGTCACGGCTCACACAACCTGGGAGTCTTTGCAGTAGAGCATCCAGATTTGTTCCTTCAAGACCTTTGAGCTTCTCTTTTTCATTTTCTCCTTTTTTATCAGAGTCTTTTTCTTTCCCTTTCTCCTTGTCTGGATCTTTAGTCCTTTCTTTGTCCTTTTCCTCTTTGTCCTTCCCTTTCTCCACACTTTTCCCTTCTTGCAAATTGCCAGAGTCTGCAGAAGCCTCCACAGCATCTTGGGCAACTGCAGTACTTTGATCTGCTTCAGTAGAGGAATCCTTGGAAAAGAAGACCAAAGTATCATTTAATGATAACCATTAAATAGAGATAAACTATTTAGAAAACTTAAATCAGATCTGCCATGAGAGACTCAAGAAGATTTCAACAATCAAGAAATCTAGAAACTGACTCACCCCTCCCGAACCCCCACCCAGCCACAAAAAGGGAGAAAAAGAAAACAAGTGCACTGCAGTTAAGAAATCAAGAAATGGTTCAGTCTATCCTTGGGTTTCTTAACATCAAAATGCCTTGTTTCTGTCAATTTTTTTCACTTTTTTTCTCTAACAAACTATCAGATTTCTTTAGTTTTTAGCATCAGGAGTATTTCGATAATTTCCAACTGCAAAGATATGGATCATGGTGATGATTGATGGAGCAGGGATGAGCAATAAATATGAAATGTCAGCACATCAACAACCAATCCTCAACCAAGCCTTAGATATGTAACACAGAAAGGATAATACTTTATTGGCAGTATTTAACCACAGATGACAAAGCCTATAATAACATTCAAAATCTTGATGTACTTACAGTTGGTTGCTCTTGTGCCTTTGACGTTTGCTCGATCCCTTTGGGCTCGGCTTCTCCCAATAATACGGCTGGGACAAATGCTCTGAGAATAACACGCATGCAATGCTCTTAATAGCAAGCAAAGACATCTTTTACTTCCAAAAAGAACATCAACAAAGACTCTATTGGTTAAGAATATATCTTCTTAACTAACTGCATAATGGCCACAACAAACCTGAGATCTGGTAAGCATTCATAGAACGCTCTAGTGTCCTCATCATCCCATATAGCTTCAAGGGTGGAAGACTCTTTTCCAGTGGCAGGAGATGAAGCATCCTCTCCAGTAGTAACCCTAGTTGTGTGACTGTCCTCTGGCATCACTGGAGACTGCATATCAAGTGCTTCTGCTAAACTGCAATATAAGGATTTAAAAAATATTTAAATTGATTTGTTTTTGGTTAAAAGAAAATAAGTCATTTATGATTGGTTTTCTTTTGTAAGAAATATAAGCTGATAATAATGTTACTCTAGATGCAAGAGGCATGCTTGAGGTTTGAGAATAAGCAAATTTAAATGGGGAAAATTATGAAAATTCTGAAATGCAAGGTGGAAGTACTATGAAACTGACAGTTCAACTACGGTTTGGCATCTTAGCCACTGACTTTGGCAAGACCCAAGAGACACTAAATTGTTAAAAAAAATGAGGTCTAAAGTTCCCACAGGTCATTAAATCCAAAAATCCACAAAAGAGACCACCAGCTCCAGCTCAAACCCTGCATTTCTGCCACAATTCTTGATAGAATTGCTCATGCAATGGAAAAAAGTATGAATAGTACCAGGTGGAAGCTCGCAAAGGATTTACTTCCTAGACTCTGTAATGGAAGAGCTATCTTGGGATACACACAAATCCAACTATCTGACAAAGCATTTATAAAGCAAAGAAATCATAGAAAAATCCATTACTATTTACGCTTTGCCACCAACACACTCCGTATTATAATCATTAATCTGAAGTCATTTAGTACAGATTTCCAAATTCAGCAATCAGAGCTATCACTCCGAATTCAGCAGCAATAATTTTATTTTCATATTACAAGAAATCATCTTGGTTTAGTACATGGGGCTCAAAACTCAAGAAATTGATACTGAAGATAGCAATACCAACAAACCTATTCTGACAGCTGTCATCAACAGTTCCAGCTTTTATACTTCCCAAACAAAAGTTATTCTTAGCATAAGTAATCTCAAACTTCTCGACTGAGCATCCGAAGATAAGTAATCTCCTGAAATAACTATTCCCATATGCTACATATTTCTTGACAAACACTTTAAAATACAAACCTTAATTCATATGTAGTGCACAAAACAACTATTAACATCTAAATATTTAAGTTATGAAACATAGAAAAGTATAATCTTTTCCACTTATGCCTATTGGTAGTTATTTAACGGAGGCTTGGTCTTCAACAATTTTCTATATGGAGAAACTGAATATTTATGATATAAATATGGCAACTTATATTCTGTTTCATTTATGCTGATTGATAGTTATGTGGCAGATGTTTGGTTTATAGACAATATCTGTTCATCCAGAGACAAAGAGTAAAGATATTGGAATGCAACTCCATAATAACTCAATGATTATAAACTTGCTAATACAGCATAATTATTCCTGGTTCAGGCATGATCTAAACATCTACAATTAATATATAAGTAAGTAATAAAACACCATAAACACCACTTACAATGAGACATTGCCACCAGAATAAACAACCATGAAATGACACATAAAGCAACTTACGATGAGACATTGCGGTACAAATGATCATAAGATTTTCGCAGCTTTTCATATGAAGATGCATTTTCTTCATTGAGCTCTCCTTTAGCATTTAGAATCTTGGCATTCTCATGCTCCATCTGGCGAAGTGTCTATAAAATTTTAACAGTAATAAAAGGAAAAAAAACCATCAATCAGGGCAGGGAAAGAAAAAAAGGATAATGAAAGAAACCAATTATTCCAACTAATTATTTGTGGAACAAAAGATGTGGCTAAAGAGAAGTTCAAATAAGAACCTTAAGATTTATTGCTCTTAAAAGATAATATTTTCAATTGCAAAAGCTTACCGCATGCTCAGACTGGAGAAGTTCAGTGACAGCATCATAATATGCATGGAAGGCCTTCCTAAAAGTTTTCTTCTGATCTGCTGTGATATTGAGGCCTTTAAAGAACTGCAGCAAATTGCCAGCAAAGTAGCTATAAACTTAGGTCTAGCTGGCATAACAATTGTTCACACAAAGAATAAAATGTTTACGTTACAAAAATACAGCCACTAAAGTATGATAGAATTATCTAATAGTAACAAACAAATAGGGGCGAGAATTGTTACCCATATCCATCTAGCCGCCCTATACACCTGGTGTTAGTGTAATTAATTTAACCTCTCCGGTTACAAATGGGTTAAAATTCACTGACCCCAGATATAATAATTTTTAAGAGAGGAAGGTGTGGTAACTACGTATATGACTCCCAAAAACCCGTTTCAGTCCGTCATAACTTTAGACCCTCCCTTCACATCAACATAAACCTCACTTCTCCCATTTATGAGTTTAGCCCCTATGCCACGTCCAAAGAGAACCAACAGAGGCTCAATCCCTACCACCAAAATAACATCATCATATGCTCCTTACAGTCACAGAGGCCCCTTTGCCAAGCATGGCTTACTCACAACAACTGACTCATCAAGTCCAGTTGGACCACTGAGTGAGGTCTTAGCACGTTGGCTTCTAGTGGAGCAAAAAAGGTAATGGGTAAACTTGTCAACTTCTTGGCATACCCGTTTTGACATTGTTGCAAGCTTCCAACAGAGCCACTGTGATCCGTTTTTTTTTTTTTCATATTTTTTGCACTTCTGTGGACAATACATCTAATAATTATAATATATATGTATATATTCTTTTTTAATAATGATTGTTTTAATAGGTTTTTTGGCTACTTAACCTAAATCTTAGTTGAAACATTATAAGAATTGACAGCATTCTCAACAGCAGAAAATATTCAATCAATTAGGAAGGTAGGATCAGATCAGATCTGGATTAATAGTTACGGGTGATAGTTTAGACAAATAAACAGGACATAAACAGGCAATCAGGTTGGCAATTAATCCATCTAAATATAATCAACCTATTCCTACCATTTTCTGATGCCAATAACAAAAGATAAAGTCCAATATCAATATCAAAGATACAAATAATCTAGAAGTCCAAATGCAAAGCCATAATAGCTTCATAGAAACAATCCTAGATTTGGAAGTGTCAGGCCATCTTAACAAACAAAAAAGATGTACCTCTTCTAGAATTTCTTGTCCAGAAATTGGAAGCCCTAGAAACACTCGCCCTTGTCGAGCAAAACTAGCAAGAAGAGTTAAATTTGTCTGAGTAGCATCTCGGTCCTTCAAGTGCTCCGTGCTAGTAAGATCCTTAATGATATTGATAAAGATTCCGTTGTCTTCTATAACTCCAACAAAGTAAAGTTCCAGAAGAAGTTTCAAAGTACTACGCTTCTTCATTGCCTTCAAGTTCCTGTCTGCATCCAAATCATCCCCAGATTTTCCAGGAAAGAAGACTTTCAGGAGCCCTTGTATCAGACTTGGTGAGAAATCTTTGTACCTTTGATGAAGCAAAGAGCAGATCTTTTGACAGATAGAAACAGTGAGGATCATATGGGAGGTAGAGGACATACAATTACCACAAATAAATACGTTTAAGCTCTCATAAATTCCTCAAGAACGACAAAAGCTAGCTAGCAAAACATATGTGGAGTGCATACGTACTGATACAGACGTCACACATAACTATCCTTCTTATTAGAACGAATAGATGTGAACTATACCCATTAACACATTTATGAACTTTCAGCCAACTTCATAAACACTGGTATGGCATATGAAGATGCAGACTGTATACCAAAGAAACCAGCAAAAATTTGGACAATTACAAACATGCATGCAGATACAGACATCACAGATATGCATATTCTTCATAATACAAGGAATGTAAATGTTAGCTCTATTCATCAACAAATTTTACAAACTTTTAAGCAAGTGACTTTACCAACAGTGGGCTATGAAAGATAATAACTCTATATAACAAGAAACTAGTAAGATTTGGACATTACAAACCAGAAATTGCATCATAGTTACCACAACCTAGAGCTGTTTATTATCCATACATGCATGAAAGGAAAAGGTAAACTACAAAGAAGTTGATGATGAAAATAGCAAGGACCAGACTAGGACACTCTATAGATATTTAAAATGTATGCAATAAACAATTTATAAAACATTGAATCCTCATGAAAAACTCAAATCTGCTAGCAAAAGATAGAAAGGTGCACACAAAGACATTGCAGGAGGTAACCAATGACTCATACAGGCTACTACAACCCATTTGGACACAAAGACTACCAAATTCTTTTACTTTCTTATTTAAATCAAAGTTACCTAATCCTGGCTGCTTAAATTACCTCGCTTAAACAGCTATGATTCATTCAAGTCTTTGAGTTTTGGCTCATGAAACCATGAACCATTTTCAGCTGAAGAGAATACACGAAAGTTCACAATCAAATTTCAATCAAACATACAACTACCAACTTTGCATGTCTGAATACGAAATAACATACATTTTTAATGACTCTTTGTACTCACAGCGAATTAACTGAGATAACAATATGTATGGCCATATAATCTCAATATAAAATCTAACAATATCTAGATCAAACTTATTCATAAACACTACCTGAACTGCAGCTTGTATATCAGAACTTTTAAGCTTGGCATCACAAATAGCAGTCACAGCTTCACTAACAAATTTGCTTAAATTAACACTTCGTAGCTCCTCCATCAATCCTTCCTTCTGCTCTTCATTTATCTGCTTTAATTTTTTAATAACAGCTGTATTGCGCTTGATGCTGGAATCCAATGTCCTGAGGAACCCAGAGTCTAAAACCAAGAATAAAAACATATTAATGTCTATGTGACAGTTATTCAAAATGCCATAATAAATGTCCACAACCTAGATTATATTGAAGTTAATCTACAAAGATAATTTTGGAAGTTAAATTAGGAAAGACAAAAATTAGACTTATAGGCACATGAACTTCCACCACCCGTGATAATAATAAGCATAAAAGGAAGAAGGAATGGAAAATTTGCTTGCTCTGTCACCTATGGTTGGTAAAGGAAATTTTCCCCTAATTAAAGAAATGAGAGATAAGTCTTCAAAGCCACAAAATTCTCATCTTCTCGCACATTTTCTAATACCTCATTACCCAATTTAAAATATTGAAAGAAACTAAAAGGAAATGCATCATTCCTATCTTCAAGCTTTTATATCTACCAAGTATAATACTTTTAGACCTCTCTTTTTCATCCTCCTAATTTCTACCCTCTCAAATATTAGATTCCAGTTTGAGATATTCTATGAGCCCAAAAAATTACTTATGATGAAATTTTCTAGTAATTGTCTATCAAGTACCTAAGCCATCATCGTGGAAGCAACCCAAAACATCTTCAAAAACAATAAAAGAGCACTTTGTTCAGGGGCCATTTAGTGTTAATACATTTTTTTCTTGGATGAACTTCTTCCATTCCAAAAGAATTGGGTCACATATTACTGAAATAGAACATCATATGGACATAACGGAACCTTACAAGCAATGGTTAAGTATCAATATCATTAAATAGAAATTTTGAATTGGTCAAAAAAAATTACTTTGAGTGCTTTCACAACCTAACTTGCATGTCCCAATATTTCAGCACAATTCCTAATAATAAGTTTACAAAGCCACTTAAAGGAGCCTTATCTCAGTACTGACGTATTTGTTACTAAAAGTACTATAAGCTAAAGTTCTTTCTTTTTCAGTTTCCAATCTATGGAAAACGCCATTAAAGATGAAGGATGAATTACTGATTAACTATAAGCAATTTCCATTTAAGGACAGGCTAAAATTACTATAATAAATGAAAAACCAGTCAGGTAAACAATTTTAACCGTTTCAATTACAATGGGCATTTAAGAAACTTTAAGGGTCCGTTTGACAACCAAAAAATAACTTGCTGGAGTAAAATTTTTTCTGTGTAAAATATTTTACAGGAAAATTTAATGTTTCCTGTTTTTTGGATAAACTATCGAAAACATTGTCTATTGTTTGGATCATCTTGTGGAAAATATTTTCCACTATCACTAGTGGAATTATTTGGGTGTTAAAATGATAAATAGGGATAGATTACAAAACAATTGTGCCATTTGGTTTTGACATTAAAATTAAGAATGGAAATGAAAACAGGGTAAATCAATAATGATATTTTCATAAGCATTTAACCACATGTTGTAAAGAAAGTAAGCTCTATTTTTCGAAAAATTTTCCATCTCATCATTTTTTTACCATAACACTATAAAAATATCAACATTCGTCAATTGGGTAAAACAACTAAAGCCTATATTTGTAAATGTATATTCATCAAATGACAGTCATTAAAATATTTTTTGTTATAATTTTTAGCAAAATTTATTCAATTTATAAATGAAATTATTAATTGCATTTAATGCTTTCATTAAAAAAAATTTCTTTCAATTTTAATAGTATTGAATAATTTAAATATTAATACTTTAAGGTAAAAAAATTTTAAGTTAAATATTTATTTTTTTATTTTTTTTATTAGTTTAAGTTAAATATTAATTATTCATCAAACCTATACTACTAGGTAGTATAAAAGTATTTTTTCTGTTGACCTGCAAAATATTTTACATCTAGAATAAATTTTCCGTCTCCCACACAAGCATGAGTCCTGAAAACGTTTTCCAAAAAATAGTTTACGTGAAAACAAATGAACCTTAAATGTAGTAAAATTTACTAACCAGGCCTCTCAGGATTCAAATTGCTTTGACGAAGAGCCATTTTTCCCTCGATTGATTTCTTCATTTCCTCAAGACGAGCAACAGCTTCCTACAATTGAAATAAATCATATAAAGTGTGTAATATCAAAGTAACTTCAAATTTCTTTATGGCGAAAAACCCTCCAAGAACAAGAAAAATGATCAAATAGTAAATTTTCAAGCATACATGTACAAGTCAACAGGCCCATCAGTGTTACCTCATCATCTTGTTTGCCATGGTGTTCACCTCCAGCACGACAGTCATCCTCATGGTGATCCATCTCATCTATTTGTCGTAACAATTATCCTATTAACTATAACTAAAGAATCAATAATCAAGAGATTAGCATTAAAAAAATGAACCATTATTATATTTCACCTCAATAATCCCTATATATCTATGACTAAAGAATCAATTACCAAGAAATTACCATTAAAAAAATGAAGAATTGGAGCTAAATGGTACCTTCTACCAGATTTCTAAATACAGTTAAAGAATCAATAACTGAGAAATTAGCATTAAAACAAAAACGAGCTATTAGTAACTAAATAGGATCTTCTAGCTTTTCCAGAACCAAGCACTTCCAGGTAGTATCCATATAAATAACTCTCTCTGCATCATATATCACTCCCCATTCCAGCATTTTAAACCCCTACGCTAAGTTGCAGAAGATATCGTAGTCAACCATGTAATACAGTAATTTTTCTTGGAACAATTTTTTTTTCAATTACTTTTTAAACTTTGATACTCAAAAGTTCAGCCCTAAAATCCACTTCACCAATTATACCTCATAACCTGCAGCATGTACATCAGAGTGATATTCGAAGCACAAAGACAAAGAAAACCATATTTTAACCTTCCAAAATACACACCTTAAAATCATGGAACAAATGCGGAAAAATACTTCATAATTCGAATTCTAACAACCTCATTTCTCCTTTTAACAGTTACCTTAAATCCATGACAAGAAAAGAGATTTGCATAATCATAATCTAGCTTAACTGTTCCAAATCATCTCACTTACAACTTCACTATAACAACTGAAAACATTTCGTAGGAATAATAATAATCATCAAAAATCACTAAAAAATCAGCGAATTATACTTTCCTCAAATCATAAAATCATAAAGATGTTAAAAAAAACTCAATCCGAAGATTAAAAAACAACAATAAAGTCTGTAAATGGAAGGTTACAGATCTTAGAGAAAGAGAGAGAGCGAGAGAGAGCGAGTTAGGGTTTTTACCTGAAAATTTGCGGAAGAAATAGTCAGAATAATAGAGTGAAGAGAAATAGACGAATAAAGGGAGCCTGAGCCCTTGAGAGAAATTTCTGAAACGAACCCGGACTTTTTGAAGAACTGATTTGGCAAAGGAAGAAAACTGAAGCTTTCAGGGTGGCTCGAAATCGGATCGCGGGTCGAACTTGAACCCGTTTTGAAACGCAAGAATTTTTAGGATTTGAGAATTTTATAGAGTGAGATGATGCGTTTTGGCACGTCCGATTAGAAGATTTCTTTCCTTTTTTTTTTTTTCTAAATTTTTTTACTATTCATAAGGTTGCCATTTTTCATTAGATAATAATAATTAAATACTAATAAATTAATATAACTTATTAAATCAACATACCTCAGTCACGCTAATTCTTTCTTAAAAAGCATAATTTTTAAAAAAATTCATCAATTATTTTACAAAAAAATCAAATAAACTCTTACTTTTTATTTTATGTTCAATCTAATTTTTATTTATTTTGAACCCAATAAATATTTATAACCAAGGGTTCGTTAATTGTTATTAATCAAAATAATACTTATTATTTAATACCCACATAACATTAATGCGTCACGAATTTAACGAGTAAAAAATATTTGTGATCATATCATCATATACTATGTTTGTGTTTAATAAATAAATGTATTTGTATTATAATTTAAAACATATAATTAATCATGTTGTTATCGTATTTACTTATACAATCATTAATATTTTATATTTACAAGACATGATCAAAACACATGAACACAAAAAATTAGATTAACGTATAAGTTACATAAAGTTTTTATACTTCTTTAGCTTTTGAAATTTCTTTTATGATTTTTTATATGATTTTCATAATCTAAAACTATTGAAATATTATATATAAGTTACCAAAATTTTAGATAATTATTTAAATATATCATACTTAAATATCTATATAATCGTAGTAATCTAAATTATTGAAATATTATGTATATGTTAATGAAAGGCTATATTGTATAATCAACTTTAAACATTTTTTATAATATATATATGTCTATAACATACTTAAAAAAAAGTTTTAAAGAGATTTTCTCGTTTAATCACATATTGGTTTCAAACGGTGCTTAAAAAGGTTAAACGGACTATATGTATGAGTGTTTTATATTTGGTTGGTGTACAACATACGGGTTATACTCTAATATATATAATAACAAACTTAATACATGTAATAATAAAAAAGTAATAATAAAAATGAATATATAAATATACCTTGAAAATGCAAAAAAAAGGTTTATAATAGAGGATGGAATTTTTTAAAAAATATATATATTTAATCAAATTTTTTACAATGTTAAAAATCAATAGCTATGGTAAATTTTGGGCCTGGATGAGATTCGACCCAAACCAGTTAGAGCTCGGTCCATGTAACTTTAAATACTGAGTGAAAGAAACGAATTGGGCTTTCTGAACTATTCAATATTAATAAATATGGGCTTAGTGTCCAATATCACATTATTTTGAGTTTTCTTTCTTGTAATAGGTAATTTTTTTATGATATATATTTTTTTAAAAAAATCGAATAAAACAATTTGAAGACAACTTTATTAAAAAAAAATTGAAGACAAGGTTACATACTATAAATAAAAGTAAAATTCATAAAAGTTGACCAATAATATCACTCAAATATAAAAAATTAGAGATATCCACAAATAAAGTACTTATTATTTTTTAAATATTTTAACTTGAATCTTATTATTTAATAAGATATTCGAATGATATATATACCCAATTAAATTCTTTGATTTGTTATCGAATTTGTATTCGGATATCTTAAATACTCGTATCTGTTCAAAATAATTTTTTATGTGTATTGTTAATAAAAATAAAATTAATAAATTAAAATTGATTCATAAAAAACAAATTAAAATTTAAAATCATATTTACAACAATTAATGTAATGAATTTATTTAGTATTATATTAACTATAAAAAAATTTTAAATAAATAATATAATATATAAAATAAAAATTTAATATTAAAAGTTATTATTTATAATAATCAATTACAAACAAAAAAAGTATTATGAATCTTATATCAATGAGAGACGATATATATTTTAAAATTATTATTTTTTAAAATTATTATTAAAACTCAAAAATAAAATAATATAATCTTACTTAAACAAGTAAGATAATACAAAATATTTAATTATAAGATATCCAAACTACTCATTAACATGTTACTAAAAATAACCCGGTATTTTAGAAATCCATGTCCACCAAGCTTTCAAAAGAAAATCAAAATTTCCAACTATATATCCAACAATAGAAAGTTAAAACAACTTTATATACTAAAAATAAAAAGCAATATACCCAAAAAAAATTGGCAATAATTGGTATAAAACCAAAGATGTTTTCCCCCTCCTTATCTGCTTCCCAATTCCACCTTTCAATTCCATTTGTAAGTCCAAAAGCCTTAGGCTCAGAGATGGCTGCGGCTTCTTCAATTAAGAAAACCCCTGCAGGCTTCATGGCTATGTTCCTAGCGACCCTCATATTGTGCCAAGGGTTTGCATATGCCGAAGATAAGGAACTAACGATGATGGTTATGAGCAGCGAAATGCCCCACATCGGAGAATCCACCGTAGGTATGCCTCTCTATAGGTCAAGGTCCGATCCCAGCGTCCTTATTCCCGAATCTATGCTCCAGTCAGCAACCTTACAGAGAAAGCGATCGCCATAAAAGCCACAAGTCACACTATACATGTCTCATACAGGAGCGGAACCAAGAATGATGTCATTATTGTCATCATGTATAAAATTTAATATATATATATAATATGATTATTTTTGTAATTGTTTTTTATGTAAAATTATGTCACATCGAAAAATGATAAATTGATCGATGATTTATGTTTGCTTCCTTGCGTTTTTGACGAATTTAAGTGTGAATCAATAAATATTTATGTGTTAGGTTTAAAAAATTAGATTAAATTTGATGGGTCAAAGATGATTTCTTTGACAAATTCATTGTGGATGTTGACTGTATTGATGAAATTGGTGGTGGGGTTTTATCAATGGTGTGTAAAGGGTGGACATGGTTATGATGATGCATCAAGATTGGAGAAATTAGTTGGGGATTCTTATTATTATTTATATGAAATTGTGCTTTGAGTTTTGTAATCTTTTTCATACCTTACCTTTGTAATGTACAAGAAATAGTATATCAACATGCTTGGAAATAAATTGAAAGAATTGATTGAAGTTTAAGTTTCAATGAAGTTTGAACAATGTTTGCAGCTACATGTTCGAGAAAAAATTCAATCAAAAGATTAATTAATGGATGTTGAATGTCATATCATCGATGATAAAATGATATCAAAGCAGACTTGATGACAAAATGATATCAAAGCAGACTTGTTTATTTGACAAGTTAGCCTAATCTCTATTTTTGTTTGATGCTGTTTCAGGTACTTGAACATGTAACCTCCATCTCCATGCCACAATGGAGCAATTTTTTACCATTTACAGTTAAGTTAATGGCCACCCTCCTATCATATACAGAAAAAATTTATCTGAAATTTTGCTGCAAATGCATAATACATTCATTAATTCACATCAACACAGTTGGCCTTCTAGAAAAAGTAGACATTTCATCACCACCTTGCTTTTGGGATTGGACTTGACCTTTCAAAAATGTTGAAATTTCCAATGCCAAATCAATATTTCAATCTCTTTGCATTCTCATGTTATGTTTGAGCCAAGCCTGGACTGTCCACTATTCTATTCTTCACTAATGACCAAGAAAGTGCAGAAAGCAGATAAAAAAGAGTCAAAGATACCTCACTCCAAGTGAAAAAAAAAAGGAAAGAAATGGTAATCATTAATGCAAAGACTTGTAAAGGTGAAGGTTACTTAGCCAAAAAGAATGTAAAAAATTACCTTTTCTATTAAACCATATTCTGTACTACCGATTCACATGTAATTTTGAGCTTTTATTCTATTAATTACATCATTGCAGATGACTTTCTCATTGAAAAAAAAAAGGACAAACTGGGTTTTGACCTCTGTCTCACATTGAAGTTTTTAACTGATGAGTCTCAATCATAACATTTAGCTCTTGCCCTTTAACATATGGAAACAGGACTTCTTCCAGCTTTTAAATGAAAGGAAAATCCCATTTGTTTACTCAAATTCTGAAGGTTATCAAGGAGGTGTCTTTGTCAAAGAAACCATCCTATAAATGTAAATAAATGCAGCAAAAATTCCTCTTGCAGTTACCCTTGCTGTTATTTTTCAAGCATCAACAGGTTTAGGGTTTTTGGAATAAACTTTCACAGAGATACTAAGCATATAGTTTCCACAGGGCTCTAGTGGCCAACAATAATTGTGGCAACTGGAATTGTAGTTATCCTTGGCTAGATATGGTAGGAGAAATTTTCTTTAGATCTTCAAGGTTCAACCTTAGTAATTAGGGACTATTTCTTTTACATTAGTTTACAATCTATTAACATCTGAACTAAGACTTTGAATTGTTTTATCCTTTTTAACTAAATTTTCCATATTTTTCCATGTGCCTATCACAGGCAGCAGTCAAGGGGTGTCATGCTGGCGTATTTGGCATCTCATATTTCTCAAGCTTTCACATTTCTATTTTTATGAGTCACTGGGAGGCTGAAGCAATTGTGGTTGTGAGGACTTAAAAAAAAAAGGGTGGGGTTAAGTGGTACCTTTGGCATGGAAAAAGACCCTTTTCAGACATGCATGAACCTGGTAATTCCCAGGAAATAGAAGGCTTTGACTCCCTTTGGGCTGTTCTTTTCAATCAACAATGAACTTCAACATCTGCATTTTTTTCCTCATTTCCTGTACAACTGTCCAGTTTTTCCACTTTTGTGCTCCTTGGCTACTGATTAGGACACAAATGCTTCCGGAAGAAGAAAGAACAACAGCCTTAAAAGAAAAAAAATACAATTTGCTGAATGGCAATCAAAATCACCCTTTGTAGGCAGGACATGATGAGGGGAAGATAGAAGATGGAATAGGGGGAAATATCATAAGCTAGTCACAATTTGGACTATACCGTTTCAGATTTTTGGACTCGGTATTGATAATGAATAAATGGATTTTTAAGTATAGACATTAGATTAATACCTGGCATGACATATCTTAAGAAGGTCAGATCC